TGCTTCATGGAAAAGGACGTTGTCTCCACAGCTGACCCAGAGCCTCAAGGAGGCAGCACGGGACAGTAGAATGGATTGTGTTCTACCCTAAGAGTCAGAGCTGAGGGGCAGGAAGCACCTTGGGTTCCAGTCAACAGACCAAGAGCCTCATCCCAGCTCAGCCATCAGCCAGCTTGTTGGTAGCCAGCCTCAGGCAACTCAGCTGCCTGTCTCTGAGCCCTGCTTGTTCACCTCTAAAATTTATAGAGAGGCTGTTCTACAGACTTCAGGTTCTTTCAGGCACTAATATTCAACATGTGCATCTACTTGCATCAGTTATTAACTGTTTTAGTACTTGGGCAAGTTGCTTCATTGTATTCTGCATTCATAATGGAGAATTTTTTTTTAATGTGTGTGTGAGTGCACACACTTGTGGTTAGCTCTTTCAACTAAGGATAAAAACAATGTTTACAGCTCCGGTAACAGATAATATTCATTCTGAGATTAAAAATGTAGTAAATGGCATTCCAGCCCTTGTGTTTTAATTTCTTCCACAGAGGAAACAAAAACAGGAGATGGGAGACATTAATTTATATCTTGAGAAGTGTTACATCCTATGAGTTAATAATATGCTATGACTATTCTTAGCAGTGAGTAGATGCCCAAGACCTTCAACTAACATTACCAACAATAAAATCATATTGTTGCCACTTTTAAAATCCAAATGATTATCTTCCTCTATACGATATAACAGAGGGTAATCAAAATATATTTTATCTAGCATTATTTCCTTTTTCTAAATAGTTCATTGCAAAAGCCATTTTCCTAAGGTCATTTGTTCAAAGGTTCTACTTTGTATGTTACTTCAGGGTATGACCTCAGGAAGACTGGAATCTAAATTTCTACCTGGAGGCCCACAAGTAAGGCAGGATCAACAGTTTTAGGATTCTTGGCTGACTACCCATGTCAGGGCTATTAAGGAAGTTGAAGAGGTCAGTATGTTAGAACTTAGAGAATGGAATTATATGAAAATACTTTATGTACCTTGAGTGAGGTCTGAACTTTCATCTGTTTCACCAAGATGCCTGGTAGAGCTTATTGTGTCTGCTATGGAGCAAGAGATCTCAGCAGGGGTGGTTAGCGGTGCTTAAGACATTCTTATTGCTATAACTCAGTGTAGGGGAGGGAGACACACATCCTCCAACACAAAAGAAAGACCTCTGCAACAAAGTATCGTCAACCATGCTGAGGTTGAGAAGCCCTTTCTTCTCAACACATGAGCTGGTGTATGACATGTGGCTAAAAATACCTCAGCAGTGAGAAAATGGCTGGCTTGCTCTCACAGAACCAGGAGGACGGCAGCATTTCACGAAGACTGTTAATTTGGATGGACAAAAACTGCATGTGTGGTTCCCACAAACTAGATGTCAGTTGAGCAGAGTGGGGTATGCTTGGGGTTGTGTCAAGAGCTGTTCTGGAGGACTACCTAGAGGTGTGAGATGACACCATCAGCGCAGTTTTGGGGATCCTCGGCTAACCATCCTTGGTCAACCAACCATTAGAGGAAATGTGCTGGGGGATAAGGAGGGAGGAATGGTAACTGGTCAGGATGGAAAATTTTTACTTAGCCTGAGGAAAGAACAAGACCTGAAATTCAAGGAATAAAACAGAAGAAAAGCTGACCAATGCCCCTTCCCACGACAAGCAGTTAGCATGCAAATGGCTAGGTGCATATGAACGATGGACTCTTACATGCAAATGGACATTTTCATTACTAAAAAGAAAAAAAATCAAAACACTGGGGGAACTAGACACTGGCTTGTTTTTAGATAACAAAACACTGCAATTATTTCTGCCTAAAACATTCCCTTCAAAGGGCAGAAACAAGAACAAACTTCATTGGAAGGGTTTAAACAAGTGAGGAATTTTTTAAAAGGAAAGGTTGTTTGTGGATCACAGCCTACAAGTCCGGCTCTCTCAGCATGACAGTTTCTTATCCTTTCTTCATATTTGCTTCTTGCCGAAGTGAAACGTTTAGGTAATAAGGTACACAGGCAGAAGATGAAGCAGGGACGGTTGTGAGCACTGAGCGTCAGTCTTTACAGACCACAGTTTGGAGACTACGGTACGGGACATGCATCCTAAGAGAAGGAGGTTTGTCACGGAGCATTGCCAAGGTCAGAGAAGAAAAAAGCAGCCTTGATGTCGCATGAACTTAGAAATGACATAGAGGCAATGCATGCTCCGTCACCTGTGGGGGCCTTGGTGTTGGCCTTCCTGCTCTCCTGGGTCCCCTTCTGGGCCCATACATGAACCTTGTACTCCATGCCTGGTCTCAGGCCTGTCAGGACAGTGCTGCTTCTCTCCTTAGACACTGGCACCTCCCTGGTTTCTCCATCAGCAGAAGTGTAGCTCACCATATACCTGTCAATGCTGGCCTGAACAGGGTCCCAGGAGACACTGAGAGTGTTCTCTGTTACCTGGTCAGTCACCAAGTTTTTGGGGCTGTCAATGTCTGAAAGGAAAACGATTGAGAAGTCAAATCTGTAGCAGTAGAAGCCACACCCCCCATTATCCTGCTCTTTATCTTCCAGAACATTCAGCACAGGCAATGGGTTCCCACATCAAATCTCTTCTTGGAATCAAGGGAGAAAGTGTTTTCTGAGTCTCAGTTTCAAAATCAGGCTAGCTATACCCTTAGCATCTTTTCTTGGCTTTTGGCTCCCCAAAATACAGAAGGAACAATATCTTCATAGTAACATATGGCACATGAAGACAGCCAATTAAACACCTGCCACACTGACAGGGTTCCTAATTTATCTTTTGATCAAGGGCTGCTTCACCGGTGAACATTCTGAAAGTCTCGTCACAAATATTTCCATGAGCAGACCCTCTCCAAACATCTACCGATTCTACTAAAAGCATTACGACCATGCAATCCTGAGGCTCGCTGGTTAGGTTAGGCTGGCTGGCCAATGAGCCCCGGGCATCCACCTGTCTCTTCTCCAGTTCTAGGACAACAAGTACGTGTTGCCATGTCCAGCTTTTCACATGGATGCTAAGGATCAAACTTAGATTGTGCCACAAGCACTGACCTAACTCTCCAGCCCTCGTGTACCGCATCTTAACATCCCAGTTGTAGTCTCTGGTCTTGGAACCGAACCTGTGGTACCACAAACACTCAGAACCATCGATTTCCATTTCATTCCAACAGTCTGTCTCTGCCTGCTTACCCGTGGGAGCCTTGGTGTCGGCCTTCTTGCTCTCTCGATCGCCTTTCTCAGCCCACACGTAAACTTTGTACTCCACACCTGGACTCAGGCCGGTGAGGACGGTGCTGCTCTGATCCTTTCTCACCGGAACCTGCTTCATCTCACCATCCACGGAAGTGTAGCTTACCACGTACCTGTCGATGTCAGCCTCCACCGGGTCCCACGAGACAGAGAGAGAGTTCTCTGTCACCCGGTCAGTCACCAGGTTTTCTGGGCTGTCAATTTCTTTAAGGAAGATACAAAAGAAAAAATGTGAGCTTTATTACTCTGTACTTCCCTAAAAGGCCAAAGGCATAGCCGAAATAATGATGTCAAATTAATTCCACAGTCATCTATATGCCAGGGCTTGAGAGAACTTAAGGCTTTGAGTAGACAAGTGGTCAGGTATTCTAAAAACAATCTACTAGGATAAGTGGAAGGCAAAGTCTTTAGAGCATGCCAATATATAGATTAATTCTACACACTCTTCTCTTTTTTAAAGAAATGGCTTTCATATACAAAGTTTTCCTTTACCATAGATTACATAGCAATCTCTTGCGGTTCCCTACCCCTACACGAAAACAAGTATATTGCAATAATCTCTCCCTGCTCTGGTATGTTCTTTGGGAAGAAAGATGTTCTAGAAGTAGGAGCTGACAGTGCTTTCTTACATAAAGCATTGTCTGTGTCCGGGGAATGGGGTGTGGGCTAACGAATAGGACCCGAGTAGAATCTGCCTGAGTGTCAGCGTGATGAAACTGGCCGAAAGCCTGGGTTCTGGTTTTCTTGGTTCCTCACTTAAGACAATTATGATTTAAGTTTCTCTCTCTGGACCTCTACAAAGAAGGAAAGTGCAGCCCTTCCTCTTAGATGAACTACTTAGCGCATCATGACTGCTTGTAAAGCTTTCATTTAATAATGCATTTAAGGTAATGCGTGAATAATGGCATTTAAGGTATGGGGTATCACTTCCTCCTCTAAATGTAAGGCCTTCAAACAGTATGGGACATACAAAAGGCATGGCTAAGCAGTAATGCCCTTATTACCCTGCTCTAAGAGCCAGTTCTTTAAGAGTGTTCCCAAAAAGGAAAAGCGTTTCAACCTGCACGTCACAGAAAGCCAGGCCCACCAGCCACCTCAGTAAAACATGGAGTCCTGCCAGACAACTGGCCTTAAGAAGCATGGAGATGGGACTATACCCACTGACGTCTGTCATAGAAGGATAAAAAGTTTAACTTTTGGGACACTAAGATGGCTTTAATGTCCCAACTTCATCCTTTGCTATTGTACCACTTCACAGGCTTGTCCAACCATAAAGGACACTTGAGATACTGCTGCCCAAGCTGCGACCTGAGGCTTGTACATGCTACTTCCCACTAGCTTCCAGCTGTCGTTCCAGGCTCTCTTCAGGGATCACCTTCTCAAACCCTTCCCTCCCCAAGTTGGTTTCGGTCAGTGTTTTATCACAACAACAGAAAGCAAACAAGGACAGTTGATGTGTGTCAGTCTGTGCTGGATAGTTTTCTGTCAACTTGACACAAGCTAAAGTTGTCTAAGAGGTGGAACCCTCAATTAAGTAAATCCCTACATGACAGCCAGCTGTAGGCAAGCCTGTAGGGCATTTTCCTAGTTAGTTACTGGTGTGGGAGTGTCCAGTATGTTGTGGGTGGAGCCACCTTGGGCTGGTGGTCCTGGACACTCTAAGAAAACAGGCTGAGCAAGCCATGAGGAGCAAGCCAGTAAGCAGCACCCCTCCATGGCCTCTATACCAGCTCCTGCCTCCAGATTCCTGTCCTGCTTGAGTTCTTGTCCTGACTTCCTTTGATGATGTGGAAGCATAAGCTAAATAAACTTTTTTTCCTGCCCAGCTTGCTTTTGGTTATTGTGTTTTATCACAGCAATAGTAACCCCAAGACACTCATGTAACCCTCCCCATATCCCTATAACACAGACACCTCTGAGCCATTTTATAAAGCAGAAATTGACTCCCCACCACTCAGCTAATAAATGGTAGCTCTGGGGTTAAAATTTGAACAGCCAAAGAACTGAAACCACATCCCTAGTTATTGTGCATACTTCTCTGAGGTTCTCTGTATTCAGTGACTGTCCAAACACAATCCTTTTCCTCTGACTTCCTATTAAGCGTTTTGGAAGAGCAGGTGGGTACCAATTAGGCTGTTGTGAATTCAGGGGATCACCAAAGGAGTGTTTGAATACAAAGAATGGCCGCGCTATGTCCCGGTATGTCTGAAGGCCTGAGCCAAGCAGAACAAGTGAATGCAGTTTGGAGGGTTTTGTTTCAGAAAGTTTTATGGAAGAATCGGTACATTTGGCAAATGTTGATGTAGGATGCAAACCATTCTCATGGTCTGAAAGAGAGCTCCCAACTACACGCAAAGTGCTTTGACCACCACTACAAACCGAGATAAGCATTCAAACTTATAGTTGGTCCAATGTTTTAAGTTTTTATTAAAAAATTTAAAATTATAAGGTTTTACTCTACTCCAAAAGAGATATATGGAATTTCATCCCAAATAAATATGACTGTTTTTTATTAAATAGTCTTATCTCTCAGTCTGAGGTTAAAATGGAAAAAAAAAATCACAAAATTGACACTTGAAATTTGCTTTGGGACAAAATCTCAGCAATAAGCAGGTAAAGTAGACAGAAAGTCCCACCCCTAACCAAGAAGCTAACTGCAAATTGATACCCGCTGGGAAGAGGGAACATTTTCCCAATGGAGTGTTACTGGGTGAATCACTCATACTCCAAGCAGGCCTATGCCCAGGAATAGGCAACCAATACAAAACAAACTCCATGTAGTTTTTTTCCTGTGAGATTTTTGTTACGTTTTCCAGTTTGTTTTGATTTTTGATGTTACGTATTTTTGTTTTGTTTTATTATTTTTCATGGGGGCTTTTTTGAAGTAGTGAGAAAGAACATGAAGTTGGCTGAGGTGAGGTGGTGGGGAGCTAAGAAGAATTGGGAGAGGAAAAAAATATAATAAAAATATATTATTTAACAAATTTTAAAACAAATAAATATCTTTTAAAACTGCTTTTGTAAATATTCTCCAACCCCACCAATGAAAGAGCTGGTGCCACCTTCAAAAGCAACTTCCTTCTTACCCTGAGGATGCCTACCCAACTTCTATTCTCCTGTTACCTGTGAGGGCCTTGGTGTCTGCTTTCTTGCTGCCCTGGTTGCCCCTTTCAGCCCACACGAAGACTTTGTAGGCCTCTCCTGGCTTCAGGCCTGTCAGGACGGTGCTGCTCTGGTCCTTGGGTACTGCCTTCTCCTTGGTCTCCCCATTGGGGGAGATATAGCGCACCACATACTTGTCTATGTCAGCCCTCACTGGATCCCAGGAAACAGATGCTGTGTCTTCTGTCACCTGATTAGTGACCACATTGGTTGGCCCATCAATTTCTTCATAACAATACAAAAGAGAGAAAAATTAGAGAAAGCCTTCACCTAGCAAAAGCCGCAGTCACTTCAAGGTCTAGGTCAGCGGTCTCTCCACAGTGCAAGAAGGCTCTCCTTCAACCAGGACAGGTGGTCATCCAGCCTCTGCTTTAAGCTTAAACTAAAAAATAAGTCCTTGGTAGATTGGTAAACAATTATGTTCTAGTCTCAGATCACTGAATACATTAGAGTGAATTCATTAGGTGCAGCTGATTAACACACTAAGATGTAATCAAAGCTATCACTGACATAGAAGTCTCTATGAAGTATAACTCCTTTAACGTGTCTACCCTTAGGTACAGATGGAATGCCTCTAAATCCCTTTTCAAGAGACTTAGTATTCAAGAACAGTTGTCCTTCCCCCTCTCAATTCTCTTGAAATCAAAACAACTGACCTCATCTGTCTACTCTTTCTAATTTAAAGTTTCTAGACCTGGCATTTATCCTATATCTATACAACGTTGCTTTCTTTTTCCTTTCCCAAATAAAAGTGCCAAAAATTTAACTCATTTACCTCAAAACAATATATATGACAGAAAACGTGGTGGCACTCAGCAGCTATCAATAAAATAAAACAGCAGGAATCTTTGTTCAGGTCACTTATGCTCAGAACAATTTGCCAGCTGTATCCTGGACACACACACATGCTTCGCAATGACATATCCTGTAACTATGCCCCTAATCTTTTTAACACCAGCACTTACTAACCTTTATCAAGGGATCCTCAAATTTTGTCAATGCTGGCTCTCTGCCAAGTGCCACCGGCAGAGATTCTTCTTCAGGATGTTTAGAATAGGCCCTAACATCTCTTAGCTTCTTTTTCATGATTTTTGGTTGGTTGGTTGGTTGGTTGGTTGGTTGGTTGGTTGGTTGGTTGGTTGGTTGCTTGGTTGGTTTTGGTTTTTGGTTGGGGGATTTGGGAGAGTTCTTTAAAAAGAGATCCTTACTATATAGCATGGCCAGGGCTTGAACTTATAACCCTTCTACCTCAGCCTTCTGAATTCTGGGAGTAGAAACAAGTATCACCACATATACACATACTTCTGTGGTTGTGGTGGGTGTCTGTAATCCTTGCACTTGGGAGCCTAAAGCAGAAGGATCATGAGTTCAAGGTAAACCTGGGCTATACATGAAGTTCAGCACCAGACTGAACCACAGACTGAACCTTATCTTAAAATATATATATGAGTTAGTAAATACATAAACAAAGCTTTTAAGTGATTCAAAGAATGAGGACTTCCATATTAAGCCTCCATCCTAGCATGTGTAAGAATGTCCTTAGCCAACATTGACACTTATTCGTTTTACCATTTAAAAGTTCCATGTACAATTTAGTCTTTGGTCTGATATGCTCAGCTTTCTATCCATCTTCCTACCACTGGAGAGTTTTATAAGCAAGCCATCTATACACATTCATCAAGGCCACTGATAAAGTTGTTGGATAGAACAAAGCTAAGATATGACACTAGAATGTCCTTTGTGTATGGATCTACATCTTTTTAGCTTAAAACGCAACAGAATAACTTCCTAGTTTAAGGCAGCTAAACTCTTCTCTTTTCCCCACATCTATTATTTGACTCTTGGCCAAGAAATTTTCAGAGAGAAGTTACAATTTCACATAGTCCCATTTTTCAACATTAGCTACAGCACACCTTTATCAAACATAAGGGCAATGTTTTATTTGCAAGAAAAGATGAAATGTGTTCCATTACCAGAGGCAGTTCATATTTCATTTAGTAAGTCAACTACCATTTACTAAGCACACACCAAGGGTCATGGTGCTTTCCGTACATTCATTAGTTATCAAATCTCATGGCGAAAATGCAAGACATTTACCAAGTGCCTCAGAAGTTTGGAAAACTAATAAAGTCTTCCCTTCTTAGAACAGTAAGTACATGCTAGGCTTAGACAGATTAGGTAACTTCTCTAAGATCAATAGTAATAAATTTTAGTGACTGTCATTCCACTAACAATCTTTGAATGTCTGCTTGCAGCTGAGGATCAGTAGCGGTATGTGTTACATTGTGTCTAGTTCTCCTGCTCCAATACAACACGCCAAAGTGCTGTGCCTTGTACCTCAGGATAGAACCTTATTACTTTTAAACAATCTTCTCAGAGATAGTAAAGTTAAAATGGAGTCAGTTGGGTAGACCCAATCCAATATGACTGACATCTCATCAATTTATATAGAATAACCACCAGCAACAAACTGTAGGCAAAATAAAATATGCTCTGAAAGGTTATTGTAACCTGGAATAACATGATAGCAGTACATTAGAACTTGGGGAAAATACTAAAGAGAGAAAACAGCCTTGGGCTTTTGGAATGCTAGACATATCTTATCAGCAAAAGGAGCTGAGAGAGGGGGAAATCCAGATTCAGAAACCTACAGAATCTCAGTGCCAACTTCAGGAGGCTCTGAGAGGTTGTCCTGAAAAACGCATGCACACAACAGAGAGGATTCCCTCCCTGCTCCGTGCCCCTTTCTGTATGCAAAATACAACTCTGTGCTTGCTAGGGAGAGACAGTGACAGCCTACCAACATAGCTCAGTCTGGGGAAATAGTAATGAAATGAGAATAGATGAGTAAGAACACAGAAGGGTACAGTCCTGCTCTTGAGGTCCCTAATCCTCACCATCTCCAGAGTGACTCACCCACATCTATAAAACCCAGGATCCTAGCAGTGCCTCTCACTTCTGTACCTTGCCGCAGTCAGCACTTAGCCCATAGCTTCCGGGCTCCCTGCACAGGTCAGAGGATTGGTGGGATCAGGACTGTCTAGGTGCACTGAGAGATCTAACCTGGCCGGCCCTGGAGCTTGTTTTTTCCTCAGAAGCCTCAGAACACTAAAGAGATGGGGTTTGTTCAAAGAAAACCCTGAACAAACCCTCTAGACTCATTTGTCCTTCACTTAAAAAACACAAACTTTGTAAGTCACATGATCAGGCTAAATACACTTTAGTTTCCCCCTAGCTTTGCCATTGTTAAAAGCATCTAGTGCATTGTTATAATGGTAACGTTGCCTGGGTTGCTTTTCAAGGACTTGAAGAACACTTTGCTGGGGACACCAACTCTCTGCTTTTATCTGCACATGTCTGATGGGTGACTCAAGTGGGATGGAAAGGCTTGCCATCTCTGCTTTCCTTCATGCTGTCCTCTTTTTTTGCTTTAACCTTTGGGTCAGACTGTACTCTGCTCTGCCTGCAGACATGTTGATCATTTGAAAAATGCTTTGTCCAAAGTTATAATGCAGGATTAACTTGACCTAGACCTTGCCCAGTCTCTCTTTCTCCTTCAGGGTTAAACAACAACAACATCCTGTGAGATGTCACATGAAAACCAAAGACAATCAAAAGAGGAGGCACCCACATTTGTGGAAGAGCTCTGCTTGCTCAGAGAAAAGACAGTAGCATGCCTCCCCTTCGTTGGGGGGTGGGGGCTCTCTCCCTCATTGGTCTTGTCCTATGTCTAATAACTCAACTCCCTGTACTCAAGGGTAATCTGCAGGTAAAAGCTCCCATTTCTTCATTCTTCAACCACTGAGTGAAGCATTTCTTTCACTGTAGTACTCATCTTCCCCAAAATGGTTTATCTGTGGGGTGAGCTTCCAGACCTGAACTAGGTAACCATCAAGCCAAAAGCCTAAATAAGTAAATTAACAAATCTTTGTTATGAGCACCAAGAAAGAAAAATCAAGCTCTATATCTAGAATAGCTCTAGATCTAGAAATTTAACCCCAGAATCCCAGTGAGAGACAGAAGCAGCCTAGAACTCAGTGTTTTCTGCCTCCTTCCCCTCCCCTTTCTCTCAACTCCTTTAGTTGAGAGAGTGGGATCCTCATGGAGCTGTGATCCCTGATCATCCGCAGGCTAGAACAAAGATAGCAATCAGATACTGACATCTGAGAATGAGAAGAAGACCTCATGGATGGACCCCACACACTCACAAAAATCACATGAAAGCCAGCACTACAAGACCAAAACCTCCCTGACTGCCAACAGGAGATGTGGGGATCATTAAACCATTTTTCCATGCAGCAAAATCTTCCAGTAGCTGCAGTGGCAGGCCAAATCATAGATTAATTACAGCTGTAGTCTCATCTACAAAACAGGATTTCTCCAACCTTGTCCCAATGTCCTCCTCCAGCTACAACTTCCTACCTGCTGGACTCTAGTGGTCCTCACTGGCCTCTATCAGCCTTGTCCTTTTCATGATATTAGTTTGATAAAACAATGACTTAAGATGAGGAGGGAGGAAGATGCTAAGGAAAATGACTCAATTAGTAACTGTAGGTGAAACTAATAATAAGATCTCTCCATATTCTTTAATGCTACATAGAGACTTTGACTTAAATATAGTCAACGCAACCAGTCCTGATGAGACCTGATAGGCTAGGGTCAAATAGAAGGAAAGGAGGACCTCCCCTATCAGTGGACTAGGGGAGGGGCATAAGTGGAGAAGAGAGAGGGAGGGTGGAATTGGAAGGAGAGAAACTGAATAACTTGGGAGCTTACAAATTGAATAAATTGTAATAAATGATAATAATAATTTTTTTTAAATATAGTCACAACCGGGGCCACCACACTCTGTCTACTTGTATTAAAACCAACTAAACCAGAGCAACAAACACTGCTCCCTTACTCCAGAGCATTATCCTAATACTCCAGAGTATTAGGAAGACAGGAAAACATATGAAAATGTGAGAAGGTGAAGATGCCATCACCTCATACCGCCATTGTAAAGATTTCCTGCATGGAAACAATATCACTTTTCCTGAGAGGTATATGAAACTGGAGGGCTAAAACAACTAATGAACTAGGTTTAAACATTAGCTAGGTTTAAACATTAACAAAACGTTAATGGCCTTTGAGTTCAACCATATCAGAATTGAATTGTCTATTATTTATAAACCTGGGGGGGAAAATCTCAAAAAAAAAAAAAAAGTTGTGGACAGAGTTTACAGTCAAAGAGGTCTTGATTTTCTTTTGATCTAGGTATAGCAAAAAAATTTTTTGACCTTTTTGACCTGAACTTTTCTTTACAGCACTCCCTTAGCTCATTCGTAAAACTGTAGAATACAACCATAAAACATCTTATAATTGACAAATAAAACAATTCTTGATTAAGAACAAGTATAGTTGAACATTTTAATTCAATGTTTTCATTTTAGATTTTTAAATTTAAATACAGAACACATCTTTGACCAATCTAACTTCAAAACCCTTTGCAGACATTATTAAATACTTGTTATTCTCTGTCTCTTGAGGAGCCTCTACCTATCTCTTGAGCATGTTCTGCCCTTTCCTTATGTCTTGTACCCAATTTTTTTCTGCAGAATATCTCAAGGCCCTGGCTGCAGCAGAACAGAGGTCCCCAGGAGAACTCCTTAGGCTGCAGAGCTGGCAGTGTGGAGTTATAGCTCCTGCTGCCCATGATAAGCCAGTCTCTCCTGCCTATTGTCAGTGTAGACCCGGTGTTAAGCACACATAAGTGCTCCTTCCCAGAATCATATAAATATATTCTTGGCTCTGTGTCCTACTCAGATATTTTCAATTGCTATTTAGCCCTGTTCCTAATAGTCAGAGGAACGTGTCCAAGAACCTGGTCAGAGTTTTGTTTTGGTTTGTTTTGTTTCTGTCTAGCAGCTGTAACAGCTCAATAAACTCCTTTATTTAGAGACCCTTCAGTTTTAAGAGTTTTTCTTTAACAAGTTCCAGTGGCTGACTTATTAAATGGAAAATAACTGAACTACATACAGTCTTCCCTTCCTGTATGTATATGCATATGCTAGTCTTAAATTCCGGTACTCTTTTTCATCTTTCAAGATACAAAAACATTTGGAGAAACCAAATTTGTTTGTCACATTAATTAACTAGTACTCTCAACCAGTCTGAAATTATTTCCTAACCTCAGAAACTATGATATCTTTTTCTTTTTTATTTTAGCAGTGCACACACCATAGATTTATTTGCAATCCAATAAAGTATCTCATCCTGATGTAGGATATAATTGACAATAAAAACACTTCTTGGATGCTAATAGTCTAGTTGGGATAATATACTTGAAAGGTTAACTACCAATTCAATGGCACATGCAATTAATTGCTGTAAGAACTTAGAGGCTGTGACATTTAGTGTGAATGTAAAAGGCTTTAGTCAAGAAGTAGAAGTTTTGTTACTCGGATTAGCTGACCTATAGGCCAGTGAGGGTGGATCTTCCCTCCTGATCCTGCTTTGGACTTTACATCCTGTTTTCCTGGGTAACATTAGGAATGGGAACTTCACAACTGACCTCCTTAGGGTTTAAAATAAAACATGAAAAGTTGGAAGTATCAGGGCTTCCCTAAATCCCATGTAAGGGAAAGCAAACCCCCCCCCCCCCAGTCAAAAGAATGGAAGCTGAGGTTCACCTCTCTTCCTGGGTGGAAACTGACATTCTAATCAGCTAGAAAAATCAGAACATGCTATTGTTTCTCCCCTAAAAATTAATCTGCTGGGGCCCTTAAATTTCCTGGCCAAAAATTTAGCCCACAGAAAGCCAGTTCACCTGAATACATGATAAGGTGATGAGAGAAATAATTATCCCCTTAATGAGATGATGTATTTATTAGTCCCACTAAGCCTCCCTGCTTTTTTGAGTTCAAACTAAAAAAAGACATTTTTCCTTGTCCTCCTTCTCCACCCCCCCCCCCCCCCCATTCTCTCTCTGATACCAAGAAAACTCAAAGTGTGCTTTTCCCGATATTCTGGGCTTTCTTACTCTTCCTCTGAAGCACTCCTCCCCTTTACCATGCAGCGACTTGCCAGTCTACACTGCTAAACACACCAGCTTTCTTAGACCCTAACTCAGACTTTCTCTTCCTCCCCTCCATCCACCCCCTCCCACAACTGCCGGGTTTACAACTGGTCTCCCTATTGTCGTTTCAAATCCTAAGAAAGCGATCCTCCACTGTCTTTCTGAACACATTTTTAAGTCTGACCCATCAGTCCAAATCTAACACTATATCTAGCAGGTACTATTAGAAGTGAATTGACTTATATGACACCCAGTTGGTGTCTGATGGAGAATTACTTGGCATTTGGAGAATAATCCAAACACATACACATTAATAGCCAAGTGTTGTGTGTTGTGTTGATTGTGTAAGTGGAGAAAACATATGCATCTCTCACAGAAGGGTCAACTAGGAAGCACTTTCTACTGTAGCTAAGCTCCAAGGCCTAGAGGTGCACATCCTTCATTCAAATCCATCTCTGCCATTGGCCGGGCAATCCTAACATTCACTTTTTTTAAGTTTCAGTTTTTTTTATGCATATGGCCTTGAAATAATAGTAGTAACTCATCCATAGACTGACTGTGAGAATTAAATGACAAAACATGGAAAATGTTGAGGGAAATCGCTGCCTGGCACAAGCAAACTTTCAATTGATCTATAACCTCCCAATCAAGCCACAGAGAAAGCTTTCGGAAGCAAGGGAAGGGCTTGCCATTTTCTGACTCACTCATATATCTCATCAACGATTTAGGCAGACTACCCAATCCATCTTGTCTGGATCATAAATCAAATCACATCTTTTTCTTTATAATTACCCAGCTCTCTAACTTTTGCAAACTTCAACCATCTCATAGGAAGCTGAAATGGTGAATTCAGCCCTTATGCTGTCTCATCCTCCTTACCTAGCTACTTCTAAGACTGAACAGGAAAGAATGAAACCACATTCAAAGAAAAACTTAAAATTAAAAGATTCCTTCTTGGAATCTTTTTGGAATCTTCCTCTAATCACTAGCGTCTTCCAGATCCTGATCTATGTAGGCAGGAAAACAATTACTGAAGGAGGCCCACAGTTCAATATGCATTTATGCTTACAGTGTTGTCAACTTCCATTCCAGTTGATACATGACAAATTACTGCTGCATAATATCTTTTAATTATTCTCAATAAACAAATGCTAACTATACCATGACTCCCATGTAAGAACCTTAAACGTCATCACCCATTTGAAAGCAGACTGCTTAAGTGTGGACTTTAGGAACAAATACAAATAGTCTAGCGCCTCTATTCCTCAGGGAGCCTATTAAGTGCCTTGAGACAATAATTCAGTGATTGAAACAACCAAAATCAGAAGAAAGGCATCAGAGATAGTAAGTCCCCTTGACTCCAAGATCCCAGGAAGGCTTTCCCATGGCAAGAAAAGAAGTGAAACAGGAGAAATTTGCTTCTGTTCTTCTGCTCCTCTGTACAGATACCCAGCCAGAAAGCTGCCGCCTCTCTCCATGGAAATCCTGAAATTGTCACCCAGGGACAAAAAAAAAAATATGAGAACGTGAAGACAGTTAAACCTCCATACCCGTCCTGCCATTCAGGAGAATCGGCTTTCCTTCCAGATCGCCTCTTATGGGGACAACTGTGATTTTATATTCTGTTCCAGGCTTCAGACCTAGGGAATAAAGAAAAAAGCAACCAACACAGATGTGAAGATGGGCTCCAGACCCCATTCCCACTCAGCTTCTACCTGGGTTCCCCTGTGAAGGTAAGATTTATGCTGACCCCCCAAAAAAACCCGCAGGGGCAGATAACTAGCCCTGGGATCAGAATGTGAAGGGGTAGGAAATAGATGGCCCAAAGTCCTTGGGGCTCCTGTTCTCCGTGGGCTATTGAATACTTACTTTCCAATTTTATTTATAGCCCAAATGTTTTCCAGCTCCTACCAACCAGATTTCCTCAAAACTTCTTTCTTGTAATAGAAGAAAGAGGGAAATCTGGGCTAAGTTATCTCCCTGTGGAAAGAACTTGAGTGCTTGTTCCTGATGACACAACCATTTAGACTCCATTAGCAAAATGAAAACAAACAGTTGCGTCTATGAGGCCCACACACTCATTCTCCACAAACATGGAGAGCTGCAAGTTGTTCTGTCAAAAAGGGACTGAGGACGTAGGCAGAGGAGTGAAGACCTGGAAGACGGACCAGGAGGCAAATGAGGCTGAGAATCCTTCATTTAGATGGCTTCTACTACCGATCTGTGCCTAGCCTTGAACTCGTGACTGTGCACCACATGTATTACTTTTCTGAAGTAGACCTTGAAAAGTATAGAAACTCCATGTGTTACAAAACTTGATCCATCCCCACATCCCTATTTCCTGAGTTCCAGGTCTTACTGGAGTGTGTTCAGTCATCTAAGAAGTGATTCTCCGCCCCATGGCTAACACAACCCTTCTTGCATGGTACTCAGCAAATCAATTCTCTCTCTCTTTCTCTTTCTATGTCTCTCTCTCAATATCTTCCTCTCTCTCCATCCTACCCTTCTGCAACCATCCTCCAAAAGAAGTATGTATAAAGAAATATGTATAGACCATCAAACACATCCTAAAATATACACAGGGCCTCATACTGTTAATGAAGTGTCCTGGGATTCCATCCCTGAAACACTGGCACATAGACATCAGATGCCCAAAAAAGTTGTATCTATGTGTCTAGAATCAAGTGTGGTCCCTAAGGCCCAGTGTACACTGTCTCCCTCCATCTTGTCTTCTGCAGCCAACAACTGGAATCTCCCAGTGTAGACTCTTACCAGTGATGTCATATCGACTCTTGGGATCACGGCTCTTGGGCACAGTGACCTCAGTCACTTCCTGCCCTGTTAAGGGCCCATACTGAAGCTTGTAATAGTCCACCTCAGTCAGAGGGTTCTCCCACTCCACATCAAGGGACGTCTCAGTCTCTTCATTGACCCAGGCAGTGCCCACAACAGCCAGATCTGGAACAGAGGTCAAAAAAGAAAAGAGAGAATGGTTGAGTGCAGAGGTCTGACAACAGGCCATTGGCCACGAAGTCAGCTCCCTTTCCTGACACACTAAGAGCTGGCTGCAGCTTCAGGGCACAGTCTTTAACAGGAGTCTTAGAGCTCCCCAGGTAGCAGCAGGCTGTCACTCTTGAGACTATTCACAGAAGGTAGACTCTTCCCAGAAAGACTCAGCTCCTTATCCTGCTATGCACCTCCCATACAGACTCTGACCAAGCAGCAGCTGCTCCTCTCAGGCCAAGCATCCATAATGCCTAGCCCAAGGCTCAGCTGCTCTGAACTGGAGTTCTCCCTTTGGCTACAGAGTCCCTATCCTTGGCAATAACCACGGGAATAGATGCATGTAAAACTGGGGCAATGTATTTCAATTTTTCAATATATAACAATTCCAATACAACCAGATCCTTCCTCTAACTCCCAAATTAGAGTCCACGGCACTCAAATGCTCTATAGATTAACCCAAGGCAAAACTACAAAGCAGGTGATTTTTAACTTGGTCCTTCCCTGTATCTTTCCAGAACATTCTATCTAACTATAATACTTTCACAAGGTCCTCGCTGCATTCATGCTGCCCCATTGCCCTGTTCTGTAAAGAATGCTCATCATACGCCTGTCTTTGTTCACAGTAGAATACATAGGGTTAAACATTTGCCCAGCTACTTGGGGGGGGGGAATACTGAAATTATAATTTAAATAAATGGCACTCTAAGGGAAAACTTTTGGGAGGGAGCAACTGAGGTCTTTTGTGAATGCTTAAAATTGCAATAGCTGTATCCCAGACTGATAAAGCTTGCTCCAAAAGTGTGAGACAGGAAAAAAAAAATTCAAGACTCTCAGCCTTGCCTCCTTCCAAATTCTTGTCACCTTTATCTTGGAGGCACTTCCAGCTGTTCTGCTGACCACTTGTCAAGGATATATGACAGAGATATATGAACTTTCATATTGGGCAGAATATGAACTCAGTCATCCCAAGGTCCCTCTTCTGAGTATTTTGGACTCTCTCTTCTATAGACAAAGAACCTCTCAGAGCCCTTCTCCTCACCTGACGCTCCTACCTGCTAGGCCCAGGTTCTTTTAAAGAGGATTCCCTAAGTGATAGGTCAGAAGGTAACTCAAGGATTGTGGAAGAGGTCCTACGTGGCTTAAGAAAATTGGGTCAAATTCACAAATTAAAAAGAAGAAAAAGAAGGAAAAGAAGAAGAAGAAGAAGAAGAAGAAGAAGAAGAAGAAGAAGAAGAAGAAGAAGAAGAAGAAGAAGAAGAAGAAGAAGAAGAAGAAAGAAGAAAAGCAAGGACTTAAGGAGAATGTTCAAGATGGGAATAAGTGTTACTGGGTCTAAAGCTCCCTGAGGCACAGGGAAGATAGATTTGACTTGAATCAGCTTAGACAGAAAGACAAACTTCACAGTAGGGTTTTTAAAACCCTCAGAGAAAGACTCTAAGAAGAGGCTGCAAAGGCTTTTGAGCAAATGTTCCTCCACTTCCCTGGGATTCTCAACATCGCCCTGCCTGTAGCAGATACAGCTACTGACAAAGCAGCCCCTACTGTTCGAAAGTTGGCCTGGCTCTCACAGCTATGCTCCTAAACTGTTTCAGAGCAGGAGCGAGAGCCAAGGACACTCCGCAAACATGCACAACTGAGACAAAAACAAAGCCATTCTATGACCGTGTCTGAACACAGACGAAGGCAAGATCCACAGAGATGACACAATGTCCTCTCCCCTAACTAACAGGCAAGACAGCTACCTCTTTCCAGTCACAACACTGGCTGTCTCTAATGAGCCCTCTTTCTGGAGAGAAGTCCCCAAGATGCCTGACCACAGAATTAGCCCTACTTCTTAACAATATCCCAATGAAAACAAACCCCTGTTCCCCTGTGTTATCTAATTCAACCCAATATTCTAAAACCAATCCTTCCTTACATTCTCACTGAGACCCCCCCCCCGTTCTAAAATAAAATAAACAACAAAATCCAACTTGCTCAACTATGGGGATGTTTCTAGTGATTGCTGACAAAGGCCTAGCCTAAAACTGTCTCTCAAAGCACTTCTGATCTATTATAGCTCACCATAGTCCCCCCACCAAAATAGGACAGGCAACCTTCTGTTTCTGCAAAGATGACTACATCCCAACATCCTACCCATCCGGTTCTTTCCCCAGGGAGTTAGAGTAGGGTGAAGGTAGTGCATTTTTATCAGCACCTATAACAGCTCCTGGCATGTGGTGGGTCCTCAAAGAGCAAGGGTTGAGTAAAGGAATGGATCAGTCACTCAGACAACTAAGTTGATCCAAACCTTCAAAGGTCAAAGCTGCTTTAAGAATATTCATTAAAACTGATTCTTTTCTAAAGAGTGTTCCTGCCAGGCAGTCACATAGTGTAGTTCCTACCCACAGGTAGAAGGGGAAAAAAGCCACCTTTTTAAATGACTTAATGTGCTTTCAAAGTTGTTTTGTTCTGAGACAGGGTCTCACTGGGTAGCTCAAGCTGGTCTGGAACCTGTGATCCTTGTGCATCTGCCTCCTGAGGGCGAGGGTTACAGACATGTGTCACTACAGCTGCTGGGGGGTGCTGCTGGTGGTGATGATGGTGGTGGAGTTGGTGATGATGGTGATGGTGTGGAGGGTTTGCACATGAAGGCCTTTAAAGCAACTAACACAGAACCATTGAGTACTGGCCAGTGACTGAGTCATTCATTTGCATAACAACACCAGATGCTTTGCCACATAAGTGTTAATGTTAGCAACCGTGTGGTGTGTGTTTGTTCATGTTTGTGTGTGTGTGTGTGTGTGTGTGTGTGTGTGTGTGTGTGTGCACATATGTGGGTACACTTACACAGGTGTGTGTAGGCCAGAGGACAGCCTCAGGGACTGCTTCTCAAGAACCGTTTGCCTTATTTTTTGAGAAAGGGTCTCACATTGGTCTGGAGCTCATTGAATAGGTGAGGCTGGCCTGCCCAGCAGTATAGCACCATCTTTTAACATGGTTTCTAGGGACTGAGCTCAAGTCCTTAGCCTTTTTTTTTTTTTTAAGTGTGCTCAGGAATGTGCCCACCTTCACATGTGGTTGTCACCTGTCCTTTAGGAATGAGTTTCTGAATAGAAGCCCCCCCACCCCTGCTTTCTTTGTTTGGGGAAGAATGCTGCTTTAAGAGTTATTTCCAGGGCTCGTCTTACTTTCTGCAAGTAATAAGCCCCTGTCCCCCTGTCTACTCTTAAATTCCCTGGATGAGCACCTGTTGCATTCAGTGACATAAGCAGTGGTGCTTATTCTTCCTATCCTTCTGGTGTTATCTGGTGATGCAGAGACTGTGTCCGTCCCCCAAGCCAGTCCCCTGCACCTTCCACCCTGTTCCGTATCCTAGGTTTTTGGTCTCTCCGAATTAAGTCTGCCAGACCCTTCACCTTGGGTTCAGCCGGAAGGAATCACTGGTGGTTCAGAGAGCAGGGGAGAGTTCACACCACTGATCTTTATTCTCCCTGCTGAGGAGTAGCAGATGCTACACCTCTACCAACATCACCTCTTCCGGCGGCCTTCTCTACAGCTTCCCCTGGGCCAGTGTACCAGTGCCCAGCCCGTGAGTGTTCCACTCCCCAGATGCTGTCTAGACCTTTGTAAATAACTCTGTAAACCTTCAGGTGCCCCATTTGTGTCCCATTTCCCGATGAACACCGACTCTATCTGCGATGGGGGACTCCAACCACTTCTCGCCCACCCCTACTGGAACTTGCTGAATGGCCCTGGAAACCCCTGAGGAGCTAGCCATTCACTCTGACTGCTTGCGTGGGAGTGTGGGGCAACCCGAAGACCTTCCTGGCCTCGCGGACGCGGAAGCGTGCCTCACCTGTGGTGGCAAGCAGATGCTGAGGGCTGCTGGAAATGTCTTTCTTCACGTTGCGCAGGGTGACTATGTACTTGGTACCAGGCAGCAAGCCGGTGATGTCATAGGTGTGCTGTTCCTTGGGTACCCGGACCTGCTTCGTAGCTTGCTCTTTCCCCAGAGGGTAGTAGCTGAGAAGGTAGTGGTCCACCTCGCTGGAGGGCTCCCAGCTCACCAGCAGGGAGCTCTCGGTGCTCTTGAGCAGCTGTAGGCCCTGCGGAGCCACCACTGCAGGCAGAAGAGGAGCGGGAGGTGAGGGTGGGGAGGGTGAGACTTGGTGGCCAAATGAATGTTCTCTAGCACCTACTGCGCTGTGGTGGTTGGGCCTGCAGGACACAAACCAAGTAGCGCACTGTTCCCCAGGAAAGTACTCTCTGGTTGCACTAATACCGAGCACGAGCACACTGCCAGAACCAGGACCACCACGACCACCAGGAGCAGCCCCTGGGAATCTGAGCAAACACACAGTCTCGGAACCTCCCCAAGAGCCTCTGTGCAGCAAGCTCTGGCAGTGGGCCCAGGACCTCCTTTTATTTATTTATTTTTAATTCTTGAAAATTCCACACAAGAACACAATGTGTCATGATCATATCTATCCCTCACTTCAACCCCCCCCCTTCAACGCAGTCCTTCCCAACTTCACATTCCCTCTTCTCTTGTCCTTCCTCCCCTCCCCTCCCACCCCCGCCCTTTCTTTCTTGTTGTATATACCTGGCTGAGTCCAGTTAGTAGTTCTTGTATGATCTGGTACGAGGCCCACCCACCGAGGTGTCGAAACCCACTAGAAGCCACACCAAGCAGCCGTCAATTGCATAGCTTCTCAAGTAGGGGTGAGACCTGGGGGGTGGGGGAGACCCTTCCTCTATAGCCATCTCTATTGTTAAGCCCTCCTCCAAGGGGATCATTAGGCAGGGTAAAGGGCCAGACTCCCTCGTGTGACAGCATGCAATTGAGTTAGTGCAGCTAGGCCCACAGCGTTGGAAAGGGTGGCCCTCACCTTGAGAACAGTCGGGGCCGGTAAAGCCCAACTCGCAGTAACACTCGCCGGTGTCACAGAAGCCATGCCCACTGCAGTCGCCGGGACAGCGCCGCTCGCTGCAGTCCTCGGCGGTGAAGTCCTCGTAGCACCGGCAGACGCCACGCACGCACTCGCCGTTGCCGCTGCAGTTCTGGGGGCAGGCGCCGTAGGCACAGTCGACGCCCACGTACGGCTCGTCGCACACGCAGCGCCCGTCCACGCAGCGCCCGTGGCCGTTGCAGGCCCCGGGACAGGTGGGCAGCTCGCAGTCGGCGCCCTCCCAGCCCTCCTCACAGTGGCAGCTGCACGTCTCGGGGAAGAAGGTCCCGTGGCCACTGCAGTGGCGGCTCAGATCTGCAGGGAGGAGGAGAAATGGGCGATGAGTACAAGTCTCCTTCCTTAGAGACTGGTCAGAGACAGCTGACTCTTCCTGGATCTTGTCGGGGCCCCGTAAGCAAAACTCTTTCCACTTGAACCAAACCTCAGTTTCTCTTTTGTTTGTCTAAAAAGCTGCTTCTCAGGTGAATTCACTGGGTTCCTCTTCCCTGGATGGTGGTTTTTCCATAAAGAGACTTTAAATGGTCTACACTGGTGGTTGGACTCTAGCTCAAGGGGCAGGGCTCCGGGGACTCTGTCTGAATCTGGAGGACGGAGCTGGACTCAGAAAATAATGGTTGTGAATCAGTCTACAGAAACTGCAGATCGGCCTGGCCTCAATGGTAGGCCAAAGCGTTTGGCCAGCCCTCCTCCGAGCTAAGGGAAGCTGGACGCAGGCCGCTCAGTGCAGTACTGTCTGTCTCTTAGAGTCATCCTCCCTCTCTAAGGAAACTTCCAAAGTGGGGCTACTGGCGGGTGCGGGAGAGTGTGGGAGAGTGTGGGGAGTGGGGACGGGGGGAAGGGGGGGGGGGGGATCATGCTGCCGTCACAGTGGTGTGTCCCTGACCTCTAGTTTTATATCTGGCATTTAGGGGTGCTCTTAACCAAAACAATAAAAAGCCCTACTCGTTGTCACTTGAGCAGCCATGTTCTTAAAGTATGGAGCTGAAAAGACCCATTCTTTGTACCTTATTACTAACAAAACATTTACAGTTTTTGAATACGGACTGTGGACCAGCACTTTAATGCACACGTGTTCTCTAGTTCTCAGAACTGTGCTGGCTGATAAACCCATCCTCCCTGGATCGTTGCAGAAACTTGCAGAATTTTCACAGCATCGCATCTGGCTTTCCTTTCTCTCCTTTCTGTACCTTCACTCCCCCCTTGAACAGCCCTGGGGTCATTCTGGTCTGGTGTCATAAACCTAGGAGGCCAGCCTGCTGAGCCCTCCCTGCCTGGGCTTCTAAGATGTCCCTAGAGTGAATAACCCGCAGGGGTATGGCCTGCACCCCGAGAAAAGCCGAGCATGATGCGCCAAGATCTCACAGCACAGCAAGGCTCCCGGGGCACCGGCACGTGGCACACACTAAGTGTTTGTGGAGTGAATAGCGGGTGGCAATCTCACCGGCGGCTCCCTGGCAGCAGCGGCTGGCACTACACCGCTCCTTCATCTCTGCCATCTCTTCCTCCAGCTTCTTCACCCGCGCCAGCAGGTCCTGGACGCTGCCTGCCAAGTCGCAGTCCTTCTGCGGTGTCTGAAGACGGATATTGTGCCTGAAGATGATATTCTGCTCCTCTCCAGCCTCCCCGGCAGCCAAGAGAGATGTCCCATCATCGCTGAGCGACTGTGGGTCAGTCTCTACTTGAACCAGAGCGGACTTGGGAACGTCAATCTTGTAGGTGTGGCTGACGGTGACCTGTTGCTCTTTGTTGCTGCAGCCAGGAGACTCTGGAGTGGCTGGGGCTGAAGCCGCCAGGAGCACGGAAGCAAGCAGGAGCCCGAGGGGGAAGGCAAACGTCCCCCAGAGACCCATTCTTGGAGAAAGGGATCAAGACACTCCAGGCCTAGAGCCAGAAAAAAGAACACAAGGAGAGCCGTGAGGGCTTTTAGCAGATCCGAAGAGTCCACACACTGTTCACAGAACCAGGAAGGGCTTCTCTTCGTTTTCACCTAAGCCAGCCTTTCATCTCCCCCTAATCTCTAGTGTTTAGAGCAGCCTGAATATCGACCACTGCTTTGATCAACATTTCAGAAGGCTTGCTGTGTGACAGGATCTCTTCTGAGTATTCAATGTCCCCTAACTCTTTCAGTCATCACAACAGCCCTATTGGTAATCCCCTTACTTTTTCACGTGTCTTCGAATTGAACTTGACCTTGCGCTCTTGTGCTGAACTACACCAACCTTTTCTTAACCTCTATTTGCAGACAGGGAGGCTGAATCACGTTTGCATGCACGCTGCTGAGAGTCTTGCGGTTTTTCTTCCGATGCGTAGGGGAGGGTCTCTTGCTTACCAATGTAAGTTTCTACCACTAAGTTACGTATACCTCCAGCCCAGGAGGAGGATTTGAACCTGAGCAACCTGACTCCCGGGCCCATGCACACCATCATGCCATGCCTCTGTGCATCAAAAGGTAGGAGCTGGAGGCATTAAGCAAGCTGTCCAGGGTACCACAGCTCGGAAGTACAGAGATTGCTCAGCTCCTGCATATGAAGGCCAGAGAATAAGGATTTCCAGTAAGATCGGCTTATCCTCAAGCCCTCTCTGTTGCCCTCTTTCACATGGAGTTCAAGAACACACGTGTGCTTGGTCTTTACGTCCATACGAAGTGCTGATGCAAATCTCTTTGTCCCGTGTCATGCCCTCATTGGATCAGATGTACTGAAGGGATGTGTCATCACGGAGAACTAACCAGAACGGCACCAGGCTGGGGCTCTCTTGTTGTCATGTGTGTGCTTCTTTGTGGGGCACAGCGAGGTAATTCAGCACATGTGTACTGTGTGATGATCAAATCAAGGTAATAAGCACTTCCATATCCCTAAAGCTTAGCTATTTTGTGTGCTGGGGATTTCATATTCATTTAGCTATTTTGCAAGAGAGGGGTCTTCATATTACTCATTTGTGCCACTCCATCCTTAGCTCTGTCTGTTGTTTGGGGCATATGTTATTAATAGCAGTGAAAACAGCTTATGCTTCCAAGCTCTTTCTATATTTCAGGCACTGGAACACTCTCCAGATGAAATGGAATGACCGAGGGGGGACATCTCTTACTGTCAGGATTCCATTAATAAAGAGGTAGCAAGCACCTCAGCATCCATCAAAAGTTTGGAGGTTTGGTGAGGCCAGGAAGGTGATGGCTGGCAAAAAGATGGATACCCAACTAGCCAAGAGTGATAGACCCTTGGTAGAGCTCCACAAAAAAACTCTACCCTGAAGTTCAGGGTAGGTCAGGCTGATGCCATAGAGCAAGGTTCATCAGACCTCCCAACAGGGCAACTGGGACATGGCCCCAAGGCTCAGCAGGGGTTCTCTGCCCTAGTAGGTAAGTATAGGAGGAGATGCCAGCTGGAGAAATGGGGAGTCTCTGAAGAATTCACATACAGTTCCCACAAAGGGGTGTTGGTCCAGTGTTGTAGACATTTACCATCACAATGACTGGAGAAAACTACGATAACCCTGAGTAAATAAAGGTGTCCTTTCCCCCATGTCCCACCAAATCTCAGAAAGCAACTTGGGCAAGCCAGAACAGATGTACAAGTTGAGAGAAGAGAAAGGACAGCATCCAGTTACACAAGCACCCATCACATGCATTCACACCATGTGGATCCTAGCAACCTGAACTAGGAGAGAAGAAAAGCTGTGCACTGGCAAGAAGAAAGATTTGAGTTCATGGAAGTGATTTAATACCAAAGCAAGTAGGAAAGCTAAAGAATCGGCCTGAGACTTCTATGAGAAGGTGGAATTGGGAGAGCCAGCAAAATGAGTTGGAGGGTAGGCATGTAATAGAAATATGGAATAGAGCTTCATTCAAAAGTTCATCCCAGTGATAAGGCAACAAAACACAAATTGTCCACTCTAAAGCTAGAAGATGAGGAGCAGCAGCCATAACCACTTGCTGCTGGTTACATGACTACTAAGCAAGGACACGTCCTTAGACCCAGGTGAGCAATGGATCACCTACTGTGGGTATAGCAAGTGTGGTCTATACTATCCCAATCCCCTCTGGGCCAACCATAGAGACAACAAAGCCAACTTCTGGGTTCACTGCTACCATCCAACGCCAACCTCCTGCCTAATGTTCACTATTCCTGAGCCCTAAATGGAGTGCAGATGTGCCCATCCCCCAGAGGAAGTTCCTAAGAAATGAAAAAAAAAAAAAAAAAAGAAAGAAAGAAAAAGAAGGAACTCCTGCCATAAACCACAGCAAGGCAATCCAAACCCTGTCTCAACATTGTTTGTTTTTGAAGCTTGAAATATGAGAAACCCCAGAAGCTCTTGCAGGAGCCCTCCGTGTCGCATGTCCTGAATTATAACAAGATGTCCTTGCTAATCACAGCCTCTCTGATTGCACATGTTGAGCTCAGATTTTCCTGGGCAGAGTGATTGCTCGAAAGAAGATGAGCAGGGGGAAACCCTCCGAGTAGCACTGTGAAGTGTGAGCGAGAACGGAAGCTGCTGCCTCTGGCTTCAACACGTGTCAGGAGGGAACCTCTCCTTGCTGAACAGCATGAGGAAGCCATGACTTCATCCTCTGTATTAATATGCATAGCACAGGCAGCTCTCAGTGTTGGGGGTAGGGGGACGCAAAATTTCACCAAGAAAAACAACACATGATACATTTCTGAGTAGAGATGATTCTTTGTGAGGTAGCTCCTGATGGAAAGTGGGGGAAGATGCTGGAGGAATTCACGAGGCAAAGGGCATTTATACACAGGAAACCATGGAAACGAGGGGTCCCCCAGGAACTATTGTTTCACTGAAGCTGAGCATCATTGCAGGAGGGGCACTGAATGGTGTGAGAAGGTAAGAGACAGCGGTAGAAGTAAATGTTGCCCCTGTGGACACTATGAGGAAGGCTTTTCATGGGATTTACTGCTCAGCATGACCTAGATGGATGGTCCCCTGGATTGCCTCGAGACACAATGATGTCACAGGGTTCTGTGTTTCCATGCTCTTTCTTCTCGGTAGCTAGCTGCGGCTACTCCTGTGACTTTAATTCCCAGTCTGCAAGTCTATTCCCAGCCTAGAATGCCTGTCAGCTCATGTACAGCAATGGCTAGGATGATACAGGTCTCTCCTGTTTTTCTAACCACATAGCATAGTTTTGGCCAAATGTTTTGTGGGTTAAATAATAAGGGACAATGAATGTGTGTGTGTTTAGCAGATGGCATGTACTGGGCAAAAAAATTAACAAACGTTAGCTTTAATTAAGCCTCAAAATGATGACAGTCGATCAACAATATTTTTGTCACAAGCACTCAAAATGTTAAATGATTTGGTCAGGGCATTCAACTAGTTAAGCAGCCAAACTGGGATCACATACTCCTCGTGTCTGGATTCTTCATCTTTCTGCAATATATGCTATAGATTCGGAAAGAAAAACACCAAATATCCTTTCCTGCCATATTTCCTTCAAGAGAGAGGCTCTGAAGGGAAAGAACAGCCAAGGCATACCAGGTATTCAACAAAGCATCAATAAATCAGTATCGGAAGCCTGGACCTGCTTGGCCTGTGACCAGTGCAAGCTGGTGCTTGGAAAGATAAATAGTGCTTCCTTCACAGGTATCTTAAGTCCCACTGCTTCCCACAGGAAGGTAGGAAACAGCAGAGAATGCCAAGGCCTTTATCCCCTAGGGCACTTGTCAACCAGGCCTTAGCAAAAGAGAATGGGCTCTCAGTTTTCAAGGTCTCCTTACTAGGGTTGAATGGCCTCTGTGTCACCTCATTCTCTCCAAAGAAAGATGCACATTGAGTCAGGAGAAATAAAAATACTACTTACATCAAAGAGAGCAGTTGCCAGCTTCTAGCCACCGGAGAAAAGCTCTGTGCTTTAATTTGGGGCTTTCTCTGCTTCTTCATGACCTCATCCTGCCTAACGGTTAACCACAAGCAAATGAGCCCACTGCACTGGGTCTTAGAAAAGCTTTATTATGGTTGATTTCCAGTAGAGTCACTAAGAAGATATTCTCTCCTCAAATAATAGGGTGGACCTTGTAGAACTATGAAGAAAAATGAAGAAGTAGGTGGCTAAGGATGTCCTGATGTCACAAATGTCATTGGCAAACTTCACGCTTTTTTTTCATTAATTTATTTAATTACTTTATACCCTGATCACAGCCCCCTCCCTCCTCTCCTCCTAGTCCCACCCTCCCTCTCCCTTCCCTACACCCTCTCCCCTCCTCAGAGAAGGGAAGGGCCCCCAGGGGTGCCAACCCACCCGGCACATCAAGTCACAACAGGACTAAGCACATCCTCTCCCACTGAGGCCAGACAAGGCAGCCCTGCTAGGGGAAAGGGATCCAAAAGCAGGCAGCAGAGTCAGAGACAGCCCCTGCTCCAATTGTTAGAGGGCCCACATGAAGAACCAGATGCACACCTGCCGCATATGTGTAGGGACTTAGGGCCGGTGCACACATGCTCATTGGTTGCTGGTTTACTCCCTGTGAGCCCCCATGGCCCAGTTAGTTGACTCTGTAGGTCTTTTGGGGCTGTCCTTGACCCCTCAGACTCCCTCAATCCTTCCTCCCGTTAACTCTTCTTGAGCATAATTTGCTGGTGCTCTATAGCCTGTGGGTTTTCCCGTGGGACTACGACCCCAAATGGTTTTGAGTCTTGTGACTAGAGCGCTTGGTCTAGGAAATCAAGTTCTCATGGGGCTGAACAATTTACTGTGGCATGACCCATCCAAGAAGTGAGACCTCAGACAACCAATGACCCCACTTCCCATTCCTCTGTTTACAAGAGAATCTAGTATATGAGACAGTACTGTTTCTGCTAGACCAACCTCCAGTTGAGCCAAATTCATACAAACATTTTTATTTGTGACTCTGAGCTCTCTGAAGAGG